TGTCCCGCAGGCACATGACTGTGCTGCACAGGCAACAAGTCCAGCATCCCTGCATGGCCCCACTGACACACCGATGGCATCGCATCAGGCTGAGCCCTGCTGCCCAGGGCTGACGTGTCCATCCACAGAATCCAGCCCACAGAGATTCAGTCACCCTTAAGAGCACGGTAACACACTGCCAGAGCTCATGGGAAGCAGGCAGGTAAGTGTTTCTTTCCTCTAAGTAAGGAAAAAAATGGAAGGGGAAAAAAAAAAAAAGAGGAGTTTCCTTAAAAACCCACCCACTGAGAAGCAAGTGTCAAAGCCACCTCTGTATGCGTAGTTGCTGCATTGGTAATTATAAGCACCATGCCTTCATTAGAGAAAGGGAGGGAAGGAGATTTGTGGCAGAGCTGTTATTATTTTTAAGTTTAAACAAAAAAAGAAAAAAGAGGACAAGTTTGACAGCTGAGATCACAGCCCACCCTGCACACAGCAGCAGCTGGGAGCAGCGCTGGGATTTGCCTGTCTGGGAATGGGAAAAGGAGAAAGCTGTAAAACCCAGGCTGATTGCAGGTCAGCTTTGAGCACAGGTGACCCCAAAGATTTTGATAAGGGAAAAACATATATATATGTATGTGTGTATATATATATATATGTATATATATATATATATGTGTGTGTGTAAAGAAGATATTTGGTTTTGGTGGGGATCTCTTTTGGGGACAGGATAGCGGGTGACCACCAGCTCTGGGTGCAAACACACAGGGGTTCATCATGCTCTAACCAAGCTGAGCACAAACTTCAAATTGAATATTCAAGTGTAAAATAGGAACATAGCTGTTTATGCAACTTAAGATCCACCATAACCAAACATTCAGGCCTTTGGGGAAGATTTTCAAAGGCATCAGTTTAATGTACCCAGCTCCCATTGGTGCCTTTGAACCATTTCTCTCATTTCAGTGTCAGGACTTCACAGAGACTCACACCAACAGACTCCTCCATCCAGCTGCTTGCAACCACAGAATGACACACAGAGGGGATGCTGTCAAAGGGAATCTGCTGGAATAAGCAAAGCAAGGTCCTCCATCCAGTTTGGTGCACCCTGGAAGGCAGCAACCAGAGAGAGCAGCCCAAGAGCCCCTAGAACAAATCGTTCCAGAAACTTACAATGCAGAGGGTTTGCACAGAGGAAAAGCTGCATTTGCTCCTTCTCCTATCACATTCCTTCCTGATACCACTTGCAAAGGCAAATGGGAGCCCAGGGCATAGGGATGCTAATGGTTCTTCCCCAACATCTCTGACTGATGGAGGGTTGATGGCTACAGCAGTGCAGCCACCACCATCCCCAGCCTTCGAGAGAGCTCAAAAAATCCCTTTTAGTCTAAGTTGGAATGACACTGAAGCAGAACTAATGTGCTCCAGGTACTTATTCTTCGGCTTAGTTGCAGGATCAGCAGCTCTCTGCCAGCCCTGCATCCCCTTTGGCAGAGGGGTCACAGCTGTGCCCCATGTGGCAGCGGCATCCAGCAACCCCCAAGCCCAGCCATCACACCTGAACAGCGAGCAAACAGCCTTCGTAACTCCTGCCATGCCTATTTCTTCATTTTAGACTGCATTTTCACCCACCACCAACGCCACACAGCCCACGTCAGGCTCAGTCACAAGCGGGTGCAGAAAGCAAGTCCTACATGCAAGAGGTGACAGCAGGGCACTGGGGACTCTGCCCAGCAGGCTCCCAGATGCCAGGACCCGCAGCAGCAGGAGCAGCTGTCTTGCAGCCTGCACTGCCACAGCTCTGAGCCTGCAGGGCTCGAGCCCCAGCTGGGAAGGAGCCACTGCCATGACAAGTCATTTTGCCAAGCCAGCAAAGGCCGCAATATAAATGTCTAAACAAGCTGACGCTCATTGATTTTTGCCACCAGTAGAGCCATGATGTCACGCCACAACTGCATCCTTCCCATCAGGAAGAGCCCATCTCAGCAAGCAACGTCACCCAGGAACCCTGCCCAAAGCCACCGGGTGACAACAACATTAGCCTTTAGAAATTGTTTTGCATGGGAACTCGTAGAGAAAGAAATAAAGAGCTACAGAGTAAGACGCTATCTATGAGCAGAGGGGTCAGGGTTTCATTACTGCATTAACCTTCCGTGCCTTTACATTCCACAGGAGTGAATTGGTAACGAGACAATGCGAGGCCCAGTGGGAAAAAAAAATAGACATCTTTCCTAACAAAGGTAAAAAGGAGGAAAATAAAAAGGAAAAGCAAAGAACAGAGGTGGGAGAGAAAGAGGGAAAAAAAACTGGCAAATAAGCTATTACAGCTAATAATAACTTCGCAGTGCTATTTTCTGCAGGAGCCTTCAAGTTGTGATGTTTCCCTTCACTCTAATTACACCTCTAAAAGCAGGTTCCCTTCTCACTTTAACCACCCCATGAGAAACTCCTGCAGGATGCACACACAAATGGTGAGGAAAAGAGTTCACACTTCACAAACAGCCTCTGCACATCCCAGGGGAGCATCACCTGCACAGAGCACGTGGGATTCTGCTTGCAAAAAAAAAAAATAAAAAATCAACAGCATTAAAAACCCAACGGAAGACGCAGGCCCCAGGGGTCGGAAAAGGACCAAGGCAGCAGCTTGGCACACCAGAACGTTTTCCTTCCTCTACTGCAGGCAGCAGGTTTCAGTGTGATGGATTAACAGCTGAGCCCAGCTGGGCAAATTCCTAGGCTGGTTTGACTCAGGGGACATTCAGAGCTAAAGCAGATATTGCTGCTCAGTATAAATAAGAAGGGAAAGCTACAACGGCAAAGCGCAGATCAAGAAACCTCTCTCAAGTTATTGGAGGCTTAACTGCATGGTCCATTTTCTTCTGGATGCTACATTGCATCCATTTCATTGCAATTTCAACCCAACAGCACTGGGCAGAGAAGCTGCCCCCAAGCCAGGAAAACCCACTGCCATGTTTTGCTCGAGATAAGACACTGCAATACTTCCCCTTGAAATCATTGTGCTCCCCAATGGATGAATGCATCATCCCTGCTCTCACGTGCTCTCTGCTCTGCCATAGGTGCACCATTTCGGCTTGTGGTGTTGCTGAGGAGCCAAAGACAACACATCAAAGCACTGCTGTAGGAGGTCCTCCATTGGCACATCTTGCCCAGCCCATGCTTGCCTAGCACACACCGTGTCACCCTGCCATCACAGCAAGCATCAATGGGACCCAAGCATCAATCAGCAGCACCCAGCCCATGTCAGTGGCTGTTTCCCATGTCTGTGGCACCCCTTAGGCACTGCACCCCTGGACACAGACAGTCCCATGATGTGAGCCTCCAGCAGCAACTTGGAGCCTGAGCACTCCTGTGCTCATCACAGCTGTCTCACAGAGGTGAGAGCTGCCTTCCAGCTATGACACAGCTCATCTCTCCCCTTCCAGCTTCTCACACGCCAGCCCAGCGCAGAGAAGCACTGGAACTAAACCACAGAGAACAGCTCAAATTGCAGCTGTGCATCTTCCCTGCCCTCCTGAGTCCAACATAATTCTCACTGACAGTCATGAAAAACACATGTTGGGCTGAGATAGGATCCGAGCTTCAACATCCAGTCCCCATCTGTTTCAACAGGGGCCGCAATCTTTTCAGCTGCTAGAAGCACACATCCTTGTCTGAAAATACCAGTGACTTGTCCCCCAGGAGCAGCTCTGCTGCCCACTCTGCTGCTTCCCCCTCCCCATGGATACGCTGCAGAGCTGTGCTCACTGCCCCACCGCCGAGCATCAGCTCAGAGCCGGTGCTCAATGCAAACCTCACGTCTCCCCCTCATCCTGGTGAGCAAAGGGGATGAGGCCAGTCTGCATTTTGGGAGCCTCCTGCCCAGCACACAGCAGCTGAGCACCTTTGCTGCAGGTGGGCTCATTCTTGTGGGTGCCCACATCGGGGGCTTCATATTCACTTTGTAAAAGGACACACGGGGCTGGCAGCCCGTTTTGCCCGGTGGCAATCAGCAGGGATGTGGGGGAGCAGGGTGAACAGCACGACAGCTCACAGAGGAGAGAGGGATGCAGGAGATGCCCAACTTGGAAGGGGAAAGAGCTGTGTGATCCCAGCTCCCACCACGTCTAGACAGGGCTTGGACAGAGGAACCGGCTCTTCCCATGCAGGCAGCACACACACACGATGTGCAGTGCCACCCTCCTGCACTGCCAGCACCCAGAGCTCTCCCCAGAGGCCAGCTCGCTGCCTTGAACCCTGCTGCAAGCGCTCGGCGAGCCCTGCAGCAGAGCAACTCGCTGCTGCGTGCAGCCAAGCACTACGGGCATCAAGTCCGGGTCCCCCCAGCACGCACCACCACCTCTCCATCCTCTGCACCGCTCCCTCCCGGCCCCCGGGGGGGGGGGAAGCTTCCCGCACTGCCTACCTGGGATGAAGAGCAGGGCAGTGGTGGCGGTGAAGACGATCCAGCAGGCAGGATGGTACATCTTGGAGCTGCGGTCGGCTCGCGGCTGATTTGCTTGCTTGCTTGCTGCTGCCGCCGCTGCTTTCGTCTGCGTTGAATGCTGAGCAGGTTTAAATCCAATGTTTGCAGTGGGAGGGAGACTGAGTTAGCGAGCTGGAGAGAGAGAGAGAGAGAGAGAGAGAGAGAGAGAAGAGAGAGAGACAGGAGCAGGCAGTCAGCGGCTCCGATTTTTCCTTGCACACACACACGCACAACTAGCCCGAAAAGCACCGGGCTCCGGCCGTGCACGGGGAAGCAGACCTCCTACCGGGCACCCATTGGTTCGGGTTGCTGACTGACACCCGCACACTCTCTCTGTGCCACTGGGGAGTTAAACACGGGCATCACCCCCCCCCCCGGGCACAAGGACCCGCACGTCCCACGGCCGCCTTCAGCCCAGCAGCAGTGATGTACGCACGGCGCTGTGCCCACACCGTGCCCCCAGGCGGGGCTGGCAGCCCCCCAGCTCGCCCCTCGCAGGGCCCCCCCTGGAGCAGCCGGCAGCTCTGCCTGCTGCCAAGGGAGGCGAGCAGAGGCTCCCAGCTTGGGAGCGTGAGTGGGTGGTTTTTGCACAAAAATCTGACACAGAGAACTGTCTCCTTGCATCCCAACCAGAGCTCTAATCCCCCCCACTCCCCCTTCTGTGCATTAAGCAGCTCCCAAAGGACACCCAGAACGGGGTTCTCTGCTCTTGCTGTCCCCCAAATCGATACCACCCAGCTTCCCCCAAAGCAGAGTCTTTAAATCCTCTCCCTGCCCCCCCTGCTGCCCCACAGATCACATTCCCACACTGCTGCCCAGCCCTGAGCATCCCCAACTCACAGCCATCCATCCCTCTGCCACGTGCCCCAGCTCCCCAACTCCATCCCCAGCTTCCTCATGGGGGCACAGTGATATCTGCCAGCCAAAATGCCCCCCCTTCACACAGCCCCCCCCAGCTCAGTGCATTTCTGCACCACAGGGATCGGTTCTGCCGCGCTGTTAAGAAGTTTCCAAATGGAATAACGCTGCTTTTGACATTCACCAAACAACAGAAAGAGCTTCTTGTTTCATATTCATCGCGGCTTTGTTAAAAATATATCGTGAGCCTTTTAAAATGCATAAAGGCAAACTAAAACGGCTCCTTTGGCACAACACTTTCCCCATTACTTTTAGGCTTTAAGTCTCTTTTTTTTTAATTGCAGGCCAGCCTAAGGTGCTTTTAGCTCTCTACTCACTCTTCTTGGCACCGTGAGCTCCCACATGTTGCCCTCTCCCATCCCACTATTTTGCTTTGCTCCCCCCTTGGTATCTCCTTTTCCACCCCCCTTGTCCAGGGGGCACAGCACTGTAACCTCCCTTCTCCCTCCACACCCCTTTTGGCCTTAAAGGCATCATCTGCCAATAAAACATAAAATAAAACACAAAAACCATTGATTTCCCCCTATGCTGCGTTCCCCCCCCCATAGAAACAAGAGCAGGAAGGACACTTCCCACGTGCAACACCACAACCACAGCGCTCACCCAACGAGGGATGGAAGCCAAACACACACCACCAGGACAAACTTGGGCTGCAATTTCACCCATCCATCTCTATTCATTTCCTATTCCCCATGAATAAACCACAAGTTCTTAAAAAGCTTTTAACTCAACCCTATTCCCACGTCATCCGCTGAAGGCACCCCACCTCCCACCCCTTTAGGTGAGTTTGTGCACGATGCAGCAAACGCGCCCGGGGATTTTTATCTTTTAATGGGAGTAAAGCTACATTGTTCACAACAGCCTTGACCTCTGGAAGAGCTAAATCATCGCGCTGAGCAAAAAAAAAAAAAACAAAACAACCAAGCAGCCTCGTTCAGCCTGAGATGAGCATGGCAATGTTTCTCTGCTGGATTTCCCCTCGTTGACACTCAAATAGCCGACACTGAGCAAATTCATCTTCCCATGCAAACCTGTGCAGCTCAGACCCTTTCTGCCAACCAAGAGGACAAGACCCTGCCTGGCCATTGAGTGAGACAGCCCCCCCTACACACCTCCCCAGACCCCAAGGGCATCACTCTTCACAAAGAATTTGGGAAACCCACCCAAGGAAAAACGCCATACCGTTATCCTCCCAGAACCAAAAGGAAGGAACAAAGAAATAATTTCTAATTAACGATGGTGTTTGATGGGCTCGGAACAAGCATGCTGCTCCGCTCTCAAAACCAGAGCTGAAAAGCTATATTTGGGCACATTTTGAAACAACACATTCTTACTTCTCCTCCTCCCACAGCGTTCCTCCCGTATGCTAGGGCTTGCATTTCCACCCCAAAAACTTCCAATAACTATTAAACAAACCCAGCACACGTTTAGCTGCTCTCCCTCCATGCACATTGGCTGGTTAGACAAGCACAGCCTAGGACCAGACTTTCAGGACATCACCGCCTTTGCTTTCCCATCTGTAAAATGGGAACAAACGTGCTTGGGCAAAAGCATCTGTTGCTGCTCACTAGTGCAGGGCTGAACAGGGAATTGGCCTGTTCTGTTTGATTTCCAAGACAAAATAAAAGATGTATAAATATGTACTTCACCAGCGGAGCTTTTCTGGGATATTTGGGGATGTATAGGGTTGTTTGTTTCTTGATATAAGGCAGAGAATCTAAACTGTATATTCAAATTTGACAGCAGCACTGGATCTGAAAGGAGACGTTATGGTCTGCTGGGCACATTTAAACACCATTTCGATGCGCGTCTGCAGTGTTTTTTCCCAAGCTGTCTTAATGCATATTTACATCTGGAACCCCCCCAGACTCATGGGGGAATAATGCACTGCCTTAAGAAGCTGGAGGATCCCACGACTCTCTCCTTGCAGCCTCCACTTTCCAGCATGATGGGACAGAGCATCGTGCCTATGGGCTCAGTCCCACTGCCTGGTGCCCAGCTGCTGCTCTCCCTGCTGGCAGTGCCCTGCACAAGGCACAGCCACATCCCACCCCATAGGGCCCCCCCACCACCTTCCAGCCCCCCTTCTTCCTGTCCCCTCGCCTCTCCCTGCCTGTGTTTGCGTCTCTCCCTGAATGAAAGGCTACCCTTTTCTCCTTGACATCTTGTTAGAATGTGAATACAACATCTATTGATTTGCATTTCATGGAAGGAAAGGGAGAAAAAAAAAAAAAAAGCCTCTCTGAACTCAGAGCTACTAAAGAAGTAAACAGAAGATGCCAGCAAAGGCCGCCCTGGGAGAACTCAGCTCCCTGCAGCCCTGCTCTTGGCGTTCCAGCATCAGCTCCATGCACGAGGAGACCACAGCAGCACCACAGATGTGTGTGCATCACCTCGTGCTGCTTCATCCTGGTGATGACCGACAGCAGGCAAGCTAACTCGCAGTAAAGGCAAACCAAGGCAAATTCAGTGGGGCAGCAGCAAAACAGAAGGGCAAGCAGGCTGGGGCTCAGAAAAAACCCCGCTCACCTTGCCATCAGAGGTGATGATCAGAAGCATCCCTCAGGTGTGTGTTAACCTGCAGGCAACGCTGCAGAAATCAGCCATGCTGCACAGTGGAAAGGGTCCTGCTCCCCAGTAATAGGTGAGCAAAGCAGGGATCCACAGGGAGAGAAACCCCACGCCACGGAACAGGAGAGAGGAAGCAGCACCGTGGGTGAAAGCTCCCTCACCTACAGCAGCGGGGTGCTGGGAGGATTAATTAGTGCTTGTAAAGCACTTTGAAGATAAAGGCGACTTGTAGGAGCGCTCAGACCCAGGTGGAGATGGGGAGCAGGGAACCCAGGCGCTGCGGGGTTCCTTATCTGGAGCTCAAGCTGCAGCCCTGGCTGGGTGAGTGCTGTGCAGGTTCAGATGAAAGGGAGAATGGGAAAATTTCTGCGGCGTGCAGGAGGAAAAAAAGAGAAAAATCAAACGTGTGCTGCTTGGGAAAAGAGAAAGAGAGAGGGAGATGAAAAGACTGGATCTAAGTCTCTAAAAGCTGAGGAGACCTGCTATTGATTCTGGCTTGGGAAGAAGGGGCCTGAACAAGAGCCGGTGTGTTGTTAAGTGCACTTATCTCCTCTCGTTAGATGGCAGAATGGGGCCAGATGGACGGGGCACTAATTCCCATCACGAGCCATTACCAGCCCAGAGCTGGATGAGGCACCTCTCCAAAGACGTGCTCTGGGCACACAGCAAATCCAGGGACCCACTGCAGATCGCAGTGCTGTCCCCAGAGCATTGCACGACCCTGAGCCTCTATCACACCTCCCCATGGGCAGGGGAAGGTTTGATAGGATGAAGCCAAACTCATGCTAAAGCAGGCTGCCCAGGACCAAGTCATTGATTTCTGAGTACCTCCAAGAACAGATTCTCCACAATTCCCCTGGGCAGCCTTTTCTTGACCATCCTCACCATAAAATGAAGCTTTTCAAGAGAACACCACGGAATCAAAGAACAGCTCAGGTTTGTTTGAAGCAACCTTCAAGATCATCTGGTTCCAACCCCAGTTCCACAGTCAGTTTGTGCCTATTGCCTCTTGGCCTGTCATTAGGCACCCCAAGAAGATGCCAAGCTCTGTGCATGCCTGTGTGCTCCTGGCCACCTCCAAAGCCCCCAGCTCCCACCAAGTGCTCTCCAATGGGCAGCAGCAGGGTGGGAAGAGCTGTGATGGAAATGTCTCCACCACAGCCTTTAGGATGCTCTGCTCGCTCAGGACTTGGATCTTTGACCATAGGAGTTGTCCCTTACCATGTACAAAACATGATCTCCCTCTCCATTCCATCAGAAGCCAACATTCCCTTGCCAGCACTGGGGCAGGGTTTCCTCCTCTCAGAGCCACATATTTTTGTTCCTCTGGCTGTGATCAAAATGACTGAACATCGGGGGGATAAAAAAAACCAAACCAGGGCAGCAATGATGCATCTTGATCCACAAGCAGGAGGTGGTTCAAGGATAATCCCGGCATCACGTATTGGCTGTGTGCTTTGGAAGATGGATTTTTTCCTTTTCCTACTTTTTTTTTTTTTTTCTTTTTAATGAGAGAGAAAGAAAACATTTTAAGCTTTGTTCCCTTTCATTTATCGCCAAGTTCAGTGGTTTTACTCGTCAGTCCTCTGTAGCTCAGGTAAGAACAGAGGGCTGCAGATTAAAGGGAAACACAGCAGCAAATA